GTTGATCTCATAATAGGTAATTTATTTAAATTCCGTAATCACCCGAAAAAATAGAAGATATGGCAACGTTGTAAATTTTCAAATTTCTAGATTAGGTCTAGAATAAATTTGTCTCTCTTATTACATAGGAGAGAGAAAGAAGGATATATCAAATGTCAAACTTCCATCTGGTCTCAATTTTCTTTGCTATTTTGTAAGAAAAGTGTTTTTCAGTAAAATGTTGGACACTTTTCTATCCCCAATCAAGTGTGGCTTTTAGATAAACTATAATATAATGAAAATATAGTGAAATTATTACTTTATAGGGCCGAAATAAAGAAAAATTCAATGTTGAAATAATTTTCCGTTTTTCGAAAAACGGTAAGAGACGCCAAGAAAAAAAATAGATTCGTAATCTACGACCTCAAAATAGTGTGTATACCAATTTTGGTGAAAATCGGACGATTTCCAGTTTTCCCAATAATTACCACATTTTTTATTATTTTACATGTAACACCTAACAATTTCATAATAATGATTATTTTTTTTACAGATGGATGTAAGAAGACAGCTTTTATTTTTATTGTTTCAGTGATCCAGGAGGGGGCAAATGCCCCCTCTTGCCCCCCCCTGTCCGGCGCCCATGATGGCGTCATAGATGGCTTAGAAATGAAGATATATATCATAATTTTGAAAGTAAAATTATATGGGAAATGTCTTCGATCATCATTTTTAAGCCAACTGGACGATTATTTCTAACATACAAGCTGAATTCATTCATAGTGCTCTGAGAAATCTAGATAAACAAAGAATAATAAATTAAAAGTATTCCAGGGGAAAAGAGAGGAAAAAACCTGTATCGTCTCTGATATCTGTCAGGGTATTGTTGAAAGTGTCATCTTTTTGCTCGAAGTTTTCAGGTCGATCGAAAAGATGACATTTACAACAATACTTTGCCGTAACTTTTACAAATGTCAGAGAGAGTACAGGTATTGCCTCTCTTTTCCTCTGGGATAGTTTATATCTGTTGTTCTTTGTTTATCTATATTTCTCAGAGTGCCAAACACGACTACACTATATAATTTCAATATCCTAGAGAGTACAGGTATTGCCTCTCTTTTCCTCTGGGATACTTTATATTTGTTGTTCTTTGTTTATCTATATTTCTCGAGTGCCGACAGTATATAATTTCAATATCCTAAGTGGAAAGAAAAAAGGTCACCTTTCTGTTTTGTACTATGATCCCTTTCTTCCGATGGCTCATCTCGTTGATATTTAGGAAGGTATGCATAAAATATATATTTTACTATCGGTCCTGGGATGAAAAAATATAAAATTCAATTTGATTTGATGATCCTTTTCTGTCACCTAAATCAGGAGAATGACAATGAGCATGTTAAGATGAAAAAATTATTTATCAACACTTACCTACACGTTAGTTCGAGAAGTTTTATCAAAAACCTATATTTGCCTAAATAATTTATGTATTAAATTTGCAAAGCAAACTGCAGCTTGTAAACAAAAGAAATAAAATGGCGACAAGTCAACGTCAACGACCCGGCAAGGAGAAAAGTGGTATTCGATTAACAAATTATGGGTCACCAAAAATTGTTTTTGTCTCCTTTCAACGCACACTTTAGAAAGAAAAAGAAAAGAACTGTAATACTGAAAGAACGTCAAGGTTTTATCTGTCACTCTTGTCAATAATTTATCGGTAAGGAAGATTCCTAGAAAATCGCTTGTAGTCAAGTTTTCAACCATTGCCAGTTCTCCCACAAGAAGTGTCATCCAGCTGAAGTAACTTCTGCCATAACTTCTAAAAAACTAATCCAGTTTGGGCATAAATATGGCTATCAGTAGTTGACCGAGAGGGGGAGGATTAGCTGGAACGCCAATTGTGTGGGCGGTCCCAGTAACTAATGAGAATGAGTTAATTATTTGGCGTAGTCTGTCAGACGACGCCGGACCAGTTAAGGGTTAAAGCCCTCCATAGTTAAAACACATGTAGGTGGCGCTCACTACCAGTAGGACTCATATTGACATCAAAATCAAATTTCTCATGTCAAAAAACTCCCAGACACCAATTTTCATTCAAATATTGACGTTACTTCAGAAATGATTTGGAAAAAATCGAAATTAAAATGAAACTTCTACACCCTGTATCTCCGAAACTAAGCATTTTAGCACAGAATATCTAGCTACGCAACAGAAAAATACTCGAAATGAAAGAGCTAAAATTGCACAAATAGAATACTAGATGGCGCGACAATATCATAATCAGAATATAATTAGAAATTTTGGACTTTCGGTTTTGAATCGACGGCTCGTCGACGGCCTTATAGCTCGGCTAAATATGCACAGTTGCCAGATTCAAAAAGACTTGAATTGGCATCCCATTCTTTTTATTGTATATAATGCAGTATGTGTTTCTTTCTATTCTTCTTTTCTTATCAGATACACTTATATTAATTATTCCTTTGGCTATTAAAATAGTTTTAAGTATATTATTACAAAACATATACATTTTTAATATACACTACCTTATAATGTTAACTAAGAAAATACCTTTAATTACCTTTAAAATTAATAATATACAGGGCGATGATAGTGATATTTATTAATGCTGGAACGTTAGTAATGAAATATAAGTTTAATAATAATGGAAATAATTTATTAAAATGCAGTACAAAAAGTGTTAACTCACTAAAATATACTATAATAACAAATTTCTTCCGTTTGCCACGTTATTTATATAGATCTAGGTAGATTTTAAAAAGTGACACAGGTACAATTAATAATATATTAGTTCGGCATAAAAGTTGCTGTCACGACATCGAACAATAAATTAAAATTCGTAAAATAAATTAAAATTATTAATTAAAGAAATCTTTATAAAGAAACGCAAGTATACCAAATTTGGGCCCAATCGAACTCCAGGAAATTATATCATAATAGTGTACTATATTATGGTACCACTTGATATGCTTTAAGGTACCATAATATTGCAATGTCACAGAAGATCCGTAATATACCAAATTTAAGAACAATCGAACGCCATGAAATGGTATCGTAATATGGTACTATATTAAGGTACCACTTTATATATATCATAGTACAATCATATTACAATGTAACCGAAGATACGTAGTATACCAAGTTTAAGCCCAATCGAACGCCAGGAAATGGTATCGTAATATGGTGCTATATTAAGGTACCGCTTTATATGCATCATAGTACCATCATATTACAATGTCACCGAAAATACGTAGTATAATATAATAATATGAAGTTTAAGCCCAATCGAACGCCATGTACGTAATATAGTACTATATTATGGTACCAGTTGATATGCTTCATGGTACCATAATAATGCAATGTCATCAAAAATATGCAAGTATATATCAAATATGAGATCAATCGAACGCCAGGAAATGGTATTGAAATATGGGACTATATTAAGGTACCACTTTATATGCATCATAGTACCATCATATTACAATGTAACCAAAGATACGTAGTATACCAAGTTTAAGCCCAATCGAACGCCAGGAAATGGTATCGTAATATGGTACTATATTATAGTACCTCTTATTATGCTCCATGGTACCATAATATTACAATATCACCGAAGATACGTAGTATCCCAAATTTAAGCACAACCGAACGCCATGTACATAATATGGTACTATATTATGGTACCAGTTGATATGCATCATAGTACCATCATATTACAATGTCACCGAAAATGCGTAGTATACCAAGTTTAAGCCCTATTGCCGCCATGTACCTAATATTGCTATGTCATCAATGCATATGGTACTATAGAAGTATGGTACTATAGAAGGTACCACTTTATATGCTCCATGGTACCATGATATTACAATGTCACTGAAGATATAGTATACCAAGTTTAAGCCCAATCGAACGCCATGTATCGTAATACATGGTACTATATTATGGTATCACTTGATATGCTTCATGGTACCATAATATTGTAATGTCATGAAAAATAGCATATATCAAATACCGTATGATACCGAAAAAAACGGCGTCCAGTTGGCTGGAAAAGGACGATCGATGACATTTCCCATATAAATTTACATATAAAATGACAGCGATATTCATTTCATAGCCATGACTAACGCCGTTTTTTCCCGATTATACGATATGAACTTGGTATGAACACAATCGAACGTCAGGAAGTGGTATCATAATAGTAGAACAATACTTATTATATTGTCGCCGAATTACAATGAAAATTCAGGATTCAATTATACAATCAAACGTCAGGAAGTGATTGTAATTTAGCTCATAAGATTTAATTCCAACTAACATGGCAAAGTGAAAAAATCAGCTCTGATCTATTTTAATATGTTTAAAGATGTAGCAAATTTGAAGGTAGGCTTTATCAGGAAGTATTACGATATGAATTACACAATGGCAACACTGCACAAAATTCTTTTAAATTTTGTTTGTAAAAAACTGTTTTCTTTTAAATTTATTGCCCTCTATTATGTAGTAGCGAAACTACCACATCAAAATATCTGATTTGGAGACAGGCTTTTAAAGCCTGTCTCCTTTTGCTACCTACAATTTTATACATGTAACGAGGCTTCTGTTGCGTAGCTAGATATTCTGTGATTTTAGGCCATCATTTATACGAACTTTTTTACTTATTTTACTTTTAACACTACCGAAGTTTCCGGAATACAGTTCGGACCACCCTGTATATTCCCCTGTACTTTTGGTACCGGGATATTTACCAGTTCTGAACCGTAGTACACACAGATACAGTTTGCTAATCTCTATATTAAAATACCATTACTTTTCTTCCGATTATCTATGCATCCATTTAGTCCAAAACCCCAGACCATACGTTAAAACCACCCTCGCTAAAGCCCCGTTCACGCGACTCGTCCACCCACCGGCAGGTAAAAACAGGTAAAAACCGGCGCACGGCTGCGCTCATGCACCCTCCACCCAATCCGACGCCGGCATTTAGCCGCAGTGTGTCGCTGGCGTTTGACGTTCGAACACGCGCGTAACAGTTCGTAACAGCGCGCCGCAAAAAATCGCGAGCACAATCACAACATCCGGCGCGGAGGAACGGAAACGCATAGTTTTTCCGCTTTGTATTTTTACTATTTTTTTCCTTGGTCAATTATCGACGGTCTTTAATTTTTTCCGTTGGTTTTTCTTGTGAAATGTGACCCATATTATTTTGTTCCGTTTGCGTTGTTTTTAGTTGTGGATTTATCAGTGTGAACATGAACGCGAGGGATACCTGCAGGGATGACAGTTGGGAAGATTTTTTCGGTAGGTTTTGTTATTTTTTAGAGAGAAAAAAAAAGCTTATTAGTGACATACTTTAGCCGAAATTATGCAATCAGAAGCTTATTTATAAAACACACTTGCGCTTTTTGAAGTTCAAGTAATAACATAAATAAACAATACTATATGTCCAGACAGATTTAACTTAAAAATTTTATATAGTGCGTTCAGAAATGGTTGAATACAACCTTCTAGATTGTATGGGAGACAGGAAGTTAATCACCGCGACCTTATACCTAGATCCTAGATCGGCTAGATCTGTTGAAGAGCAGACTTTCTAGATGCATTTTCTCCATTTTTTTGAATTTTGGCAAACAAAGTAAAAACTGCCACGCTTTTTGCAAGAAACTTACCGAAAAACTTTCGGAAATACTATTATTACTATAGATTACTATTAATTATAAATATACAGGGTGAGTTTCATACGATGTTCTCTATGGGTATCCCGGAAACTACTGGAGATAGAGAGTCGGTTAAATGGGGAAAGAATTGCAGTTTTGTGGGGTCATAAATATGCGCTTTTCAGAGTTTTCAAAAAGTTCATGGCTTACTAGATATATCGAAAAAAACAAATTTCGGCTATTTTAAAAATTGTCCCTAATTCCATTATAAGCTATTTTAGACAAAAAGTTTTCAGATAAAAGTTGTAGATAATTACATCCTTAATGAGATTGTGTCCTCCGTTTTTTTTTCTAAAGCCTGTCATTTTTGACATATGACACAAACATATGTTTTTTTAAATGGAAACCATAGTTGGCCATGACTTCATAAAAAGCGCCATTTTTTAAGCTTTTCGGCGATATAAGCTATAATATGTTTTCTTCGAAAAATTATCGAGTTATAGCCAATTCTTATCATTTTTAAATAATTTCACTTAGTTAGCCATGCAAACAAGTTAATCGTCTTTGCTCTCATAAATGTGAAGCTGTCACATCCAAACTTTATAAATTAAAATAAACAAAAATTGTAAATATGATCTTTTCAAATGAAGAAAATCGTGTAAGATTATTGGTTCAACTTTTCTTGATCATACATTTTCGAGGATACGTTGACCGGTGAATGTTACATTTTTTAGAGAACAGTTTTCAAGACTTGTTAGAAAAGTTAAATTTAGTTATAGCCAGTTCTTACCTTTTTTGACTAATTTCACTTAGATTGCATGGTATTCTTATTCTGTTATGATTTATAACCGACTCTGTATCTCCAGTAGTTTCCGAGATACCCATAGAGAACATCGTAGGAAACTCACCCTGTATAAATAGTTATTATTCACATCAACAAAACTCGCCATCTTAACAGCACTTAAGGGACATAAAGGGCCATTACTACCGCTTTCCCGATCAAAATATTCTAATAAAGTTTCGATGAGTTTTTACGGCTATTAAGCTATCTTGTACATTTCGCACTAAAAGAGGTTCTAAAAAAACAATGTTCGACTGCAAGGTAAGCTAGCAAACATTTTCAAGATTAAAGTATCACAACACTGTTTATTTAAACGAAAAACTCGTAATACAAAACTAAAGTGTCAAAACGAATAAAAATGTCAGAAAATAAATAAGTAAACGTGGTAACTTGACATTTTTTACAGCAGAGCTACCACCTGAATCCCCAGCGCGAAATTTAAATTTAGTTAGTCGGTTAGTCAGCCCGGCGCCGAATATGTCCATGGTTGGCAACAATGAATTTTTTTATGATTACATAACTAACAGTTTAATTGGTATCGCTTATATTATAATTAAGTACCGACATTGCTTTTTCTTCTCCCAAAGAACAAAAAGGTTTTTGTTTGGGCAGTCGTGAAAAAAAAATATGAAAAGCTGGCAAAGTACACACATTATTCCATCGCTACGGATCTCTTAAAATACTCTTATGCAACAAGGAATGTATTTACAAAACTTGCTCGCGCGGCTTTCTGAATGCGAACTAATAACTTAATGCAGTTATTTATATAGTTCATTCAGAAATGGTTGAATACTATTAATTTCAGATATACACACGGATAAATTTTACACTAAATTTAACTAGAGTTGCCAACTTTCAAAATAAAAAATAGGGGACGAGTGTGCACAAAAAAGCGCCACAAACGAAACATTTTTTTGAAATTTCGTTTGTTAAAGTAAAACAAACAATTTTCTACAAAACTTTTTATTTCAAAACATTGTCTTGTACATAAATATTTCTATTCTGTATGAACACGTAGAAATAGCTAAAGACACAATTTGATTAAGTATTGTATCAATAGGCGAATATTTTTTTGATTCTGAATTTCACTGAACCAAAAGTCGACATAAATATAATTAAAAAGTTCATTAATATAATGATTTAAATCATTAATTTTGAGCCGATGAACGATTTCATTGGCACAATGAAAAGTAATTCATTAACTCTATGAATTTTAAGTTCATTAAATCAATGAACAGTCTTCATTAATTTGAAGAACACATTCATTGGTACAATGAACAGATTTCATTAATATAATGTACCCAAATCCTAATATTAATGAACCGTATCATTCATTGTATTAATGAACCGTTATCATTAATACAATGAAATAATTTCATAACCTATTTAGTTATACATTTAAAAGTCGACACTATTAGCACAGAATATCTAGCTACGCAACAGAAAAATACTCGAAATGAAAGAGCTAAAATTGCACAAATAAAATACTAGATGGCGCGACAATATCATAATCAGAATATAATTGGAAATTTTCAATTTTCGGTTTTAGATCGACGGCACGTCGACGGCCTTGAAGCACGGCTAAAGATTCACAGTTGCCAGATTCAAAAAGTCTTTAATTGGCATCCCATTCTTTTTCTGGTGTATAATAATTTCTTTCTATTCTTCGTTTCTTGTCAGATACCCTTACATTAATTATTCGTTTGGCTTTTAAAATAGTTTTAAGTTTAAGTATATTATTAGAAAACATATGCTCACAAAATACATTTTTAATATAAGTAATACACTACACACTACTTTATTATGTTAACTAAGAAAATAACTTTAATTACCTTTAAAATTAATAATATACAGGGCGATTGATAGTGATATTTATTAATGCTGAAACGTTAGTAATGAAATATAGGTTTAATAATAATGGAAATAATTTATTAAAATGCAGTATAAAAAATGTTAATTGACTAAAAAAATACTATAAGAACAAATTTCTTCTGTTGCCACGTTATTAATATAGACCTAGGTAGATTTTAAAGAGTGACACAGGTACAATTAATAATATATTAGTTCGGCATAAAAGTTGCTGTCACGACATCGTACAATAAATTAAAATTCGTAAAATAAATTAAAATTATTATAAATTAAACAAATCTTTATAACGAAACGCAAGTATACCAAATTTTGGCCCAATCGAACTCCAGGGAATGATATCATAATATTGTACTATATTATGGTACCACTCGATATGCTTCATAATATTGCAATGTCACCGAAGATCCATAGTATACCAAATTTAAGCAAAATCGAACGCCAGGAAATGGTATCGTCATATGATACTATAGGTAGGTACCACTTTATATGCATCATAGTACCATCATATTACAATGTCATCGAAGATACGTAGTATACCAAGTTTAAGCCCAATCGAACCCCAGGAAATGGTATCGTAATATGGTACTACATTATGGTACCTCTTGATATGCTTCATGGTACCATAATATTGCAATGTCATCAAAAATACGCAAGTATAATCAATCATAATATGGTACTATAGAAGGTACCACTTTATATGCATCAAAGTACCATCATATTACAGTGTCACCGAACATACGTATCATACAAAGTTTAAGCCCAATCGAACGCCAGGAAATGGTATCGTAATATGGTACTACATTATGGTACCCCTTGATATGCTTCATGGTACCATAATATTGCAATGTTATAAAAAATACGCAGGTATAATCAAATATGAGCCCAATCGAACGTCAGGAAGTGGTATCATAATATTATTAATATCATAAAGTACTATAGAAGGTACCACTTTAAATGCATCATAGTACCATCATATTACAATGTCACCTAAGATACTTACTATACCAAGTATAAGTCCAATCGAGGAAATTTAATTACAATCAAACGTCACAAAGTGATTATAATTCAGCTCTATCATATTACCATCCTACTAACATGGCAATTTCAATACCTAAACGTTTAAAAAAAGAGCTCTGATCTATTTTAATATGTTTAAATGGTGTAGCAAATTTGAAGGTAGGCTTTATAAGGAAGTATTACAATATGAATTACACAATGGCAACACTGCATAAAATTCGTTTAAATTTCGTTTGTAGAAAACTGTTTTCCTTTAAATTTATCGCCCTCTATTATGTAGTAGCGAAACTACCGCATCAAAATATCTGATTTGGAGACAGGCTTTTAAAACCTGTCTCCTTTTGATACCTACGATTTTATACGTGTAACGAGGCTTCTGTTGTGTAGCTAGATATTCTGTGCTATTAGTAACTCTTGTTATACCGTATAATGGATGATGAAGATCGCTGTCATTGATATGAAATGTCACTGATAGTCATTTCCCAGCCAACTACCTGATATAATTCTACTATAAATAGATTTCCATTTGAACAAGCCTTTAGCTACAAAGGTAACAACATTACCAATAGTGCCAACTTAATTACGAGCGCAGTAAATTTTTCCATTAGGGCAATAAAAAACAAGTACAATAAACTAATAATAATTTATTAAACTGGATATAGCATATACAAATTAAAAATTAAAAAAATCGAATCGACGAAGAGAATAGTAATGTCTGTGGTAATGTTATTGTTAATTTTAGGGTAAATTATAATAAGAAAATTAATTTACCAGTCGGTATCCTGAGGGATTTCTATAAAAAGACCATTTCTTCATTATATTAGCTGTATCCTTAGACTTGATAACGTCTAGACGAATTTGCAACAGGCTTTCCAAGTCGCATCAAGTGGGTCCGATGTTAAATTGTCGAATTTGAT